CCCCCGCAGTGACATCACCGAGGAGGACCTGGAAGAGGCGGGGGGGACGGATGCCAGCCACAAGCAGCTTCTCCTGGAGAGGCTCAGGAAGTAGCCAGCGCTCCTGGGGGTGGCGTTGGCCTGCACCTCAGCATGTGCCTTCCCCCTTGCGATTCCACCCTCGTTCCCCCCACACTCCCTACAGGTGCCAACCGAGGGTCCGTCTGCCTTTTTTCTGAGCATCTCCCCCTGGAGGGGAGGATCAACAGCCAAACTGCTGCCTGGAGCAACCACTTCCAGGCGTGGCAGAAGCTCCTCCGTCTTTGCTCCTGGAGAAATTGGGGGCTGAGCAGCTGGAAGGCGAATGGGGGCCTGCCCCGGTGAGGGCTGCTCTTGGTTAAGTTATTCTTATTTATTGCAATGCAAGAAGGACCCTCTTGTTTCCCCCCCTTCCTTTCAGAGAACCACATTCCCCAGCCCTGCCTCCGTGGCCCCTGACTCACACCCATCCGGGGGGGATTCCCAGAGTGAAGACCACCCCCAGAACTGGGTCGGCTGCTGCTGGGGGACCAGCGGCCTCCAGGCCTGAGATGCCAGCGGTCCTCCCTTTCGGTGGTCTAGTCGGGGACTGAGAACAGCTGCGCCGCCTCCCCCCGAATCAGAGATCGGAGGCAGCCGGGGTAAACTCCTTAAGGGTTGGATTTCACGGGGCCAGGAGAGAGTTTGGACAAGTGGCCGAAAGGACGTTCTGGGGCCAGTGTGCCCCCAGGAGAGGAGTCCTGGGAGTTGAATGGCCGCATCCCACGCCTTGCATCCTGTCACTGCCGACAGCCAGCTTTCCTTCTGCAACCAGCCTGCCACGCGGGAGCTCTCCTCTCCCCGTCCCACCATTTCACCTTTCCTGCAACCTTTTATGCACACTTTTCAGGGCTCTGCCATCCGGCCAGAAATCAACGGTTTTCCTAAGGTGTCTTGCTTTGGGAGCATTTTAAGCCTTAAGCCAACGTACATCCCCTCGCCCCAGGGTTTTAACCGTCCCATGGATGACAATCTCCAGAATAAACTCAGGTAGCCGCAGGGAAAGAAGGGACCCCTTGAGTTGCAATGCCAATTGTGCAGGAATGCTCTGGCCTACCAGGGGGTCAAGCTGTTGGAGCCCTGGATCACCTCCATGGTGCCCTGCTTCCTGTCTCCAGAGCAGCCCATCATGAAGGAGTGTGGGTCACCCACTGGAGGATGGGCCGCATGCTGACCCCAAGAGCAGGGCCTGCCTCTTGAAAAGGGATATGTACCTTTCTTGGGCATCTGGACCTTACACGCTGGCCAAGGATTGAAGCAGTGTCTTGGTTAGATGGACCTAGTTGGAGTGCCTGATGCTGGAGCCTAACTGGATAGTCTCACTCTCTCCTCTTTCCCAGCCCACCACCTTCTGCTGGAGGTCCACCAACTGTGAGGTCATGCTTGTCCTGACCATCTCTTTCCTTCAAGTCGCCTGACCATTTCAATCAGGGCCTTCATCCAGCAGATTCCACATTTTTCATCTTGACTTGGGAGCAATCGGGGGGAGGGGGGCTGCTTCCCTTACCTGTGCAAACCATGGTGCCTGCAGAGCGCATTAGATCTGGTCCAGGGCAGGGACCTGGTCCAGAGCAGTAAAAGGCTAGAACATAGGCAATCACTTTGGTTCTGTGCTCCTTTTTTCTGGGGGAATTCCCCCCTTGCTCCGTGCCTTATTTTACAATAGGAAGATGTGGGGGGAGGGGCAGGGGCTTCCCCCACTTGCAAGAGATTTCAAGGTACACCTAACCCAGCAGGTGCTTTGTTGAGGTGTTTCGACTCGGCTCAAATCCCCGCTAGTGACTTAGAGCATCTTCTCGCATCACCTAACCCTTGTGGACAGCGTCAAGACTGCTCGTTACAGTTTTATTGGCGCAATGGTGGCTGGGTGACCCGAGAAGACCCTAGAGGTCCCTCATGGGGATCCTGCCGAGAACTCCCAGGATTTCCAGCTCACAAAAACGGGATCTGGGGAAGCTGGGAGCTGTGGACTTCCCCACCCAGAAGGCGTGAGATGAGGAAAGGCTGCACCACGCTTCTTGGACCTTTCCCGCCTCAACAAAGAGCAGTTCTCTGAGACAGAAATGAAGGATATTCTGTGTTTATTGTGCTTTATTTTGTTCCTTTTGCCATTTCGGGGAGAACCCAATGATTTGTGCTGCCTTTGACCTTTCTTCAGTTATTATTAACGTTTGGTGTGAGTTTAACCTTACTAAATTCTACTCTGTTGTGTGTGCGTGTGCTTTTTTAAATGTTTAATTTAATTTCTATTTGAAACTCTTTGTATGCTTAATATTTCAGGGGTTGAAGAAACAACTCAACTTTCTTCCCCCATTCACATTTCATGCCTTAGATGAATACATCATGATACAATAAAAGGGCTTGTTTGCTTACAGAAGTTTTCTTCTGTTAATGGTTTTCTGAAGTGTAGCCAGAAGCTGATAATATCACAAACCAGGTCAGCCTTTTGTGGTTGCTGAGCATATCCGGACCTGGGTGAGTGTCGTGGGTGCTCCTGCAGAAGGGCCTTTGTGGAGGGGTCGTGCGTTCTGGGAACACCGAAAGGAATTTGTTGACTGAGTCAGCTAACCCTCAGGAAAGCAAATGTAACGCAAGCAGACTGAGCCATGCACGCCACTAGACTGATGTTTGCTGTAAGTTGCAGAATTCCCCGGCCAGC